GATCTATTTGTCTTCATTCCAATTTCATACCATCTTAATTACTGTAATTGTATATTTCTCCTACTTGGTTTTTCTTTTTTGATTTTATTTTGGGTTATTTTAGGTAATTTGTATTTCTACAAACATTTTATGATTCTTTTGTCAATTACTTCAAAAAAGCCTATTGGTATTTTCTTTGAAATTACTTGAATCCATAGATCAGTTTGTAGAACACTGACATCATAAACATTTTCAGTCTTTCAATTCATGTGCATGTATAGTTTTTGATTTATTTAGGTGTTCTTTAGCTTAACTAAGCAAGTTTTTTGGTTTCCATTCTAGAGATCTTACTTGTCTTTTGGTAAAGTATTTTATATTTTTTGATATTCCAAGTGAAATTGTTTTTCATTTTCAGTTGTTTAATGCTAGTATAGAAACAAAATTGACTTTTATATTTGACTTAATATCCTGCAACCTTGCTAAATTCACTTATTTATTTTAAATGTTCCTTTGAATATTCCTTAGGATTTTCTATGCAAACAATTATGCCAACTGCATACAGAAAAATTTTACATCTCCCTTTCTAATTTTTCTATCTTCTGTGTTTTTCTTTGTTTTGTTTGGTTCCCCCTTCTCTTTTTTTCCTGCCTTATTTCACTAGTTGGACCTCCAATAAAATGTTTTAAATATAAGGATTGAGAATACGTGTTCTTGACTTTTTCTCTGCCCTTAGGGGGAAAGTATTCAGTATTTTATCTTTAAGAATGATCATTAACTAAAGGTTCTTTAGTAGCTGTCTTCTATCAGCTTGAAGTAGTTTCATTCTACTCCTGGTTTACTCAGAGATTTTAATCATGAATGAGTATGTATTTTGTCAAATGCTTTTTTCTCCATCTATTGAGATATAATCAGACAGCTTTTTTCTTTTATTCTGTTGATGTGAGGATTACACTGATTGATTTCATAATGATAAATCAACCTTACATTCATGAGATAAACCCTACTTAGTCATGATCTATTTTCTTATATATATCTTGCTGGATTCTATTTGGCAATATTTTCTTCTGGATTTTCAGCTACATCTATAAGATCTATTGGTCAGAAATTCTTTTTGACAGCACTTGTCAGATTTTGGTATTATGATAATGCTGACCTCATAAAACAAGATGTTTCTTCATCTATTTTTCTGATAGAGTCTGTATAATATTTGTGTAAGGTTTTGTTTAAAATTTTTAAAGAATTTACTGAGCCTGGAGCCATCTGGGCCTTTGGTTTTCATTAATAGATATTAAGCTATTCAGATTTCCCAATACTTTCTATGCCAGTTACTGTAAGTTGTGGTTTTTTTTCAGAAATTTTGTTTATTTCATAAAAGTTATAAAACTTACTGGAAAAAAATTGTTTACACTATCCCTTTATTAACATACCTAGTAATGTCTCTTCCTTCATTCCAGATGTTGGTAACTTGTGTTTTCACTCTGTTTTTCTTTGTCAGTTTTATTAGAAGTTTATCATTTTTATTAATTTTTCCAAAGAACCAACTTTTTACTTGTTGAGGTTCACTCTTTTTAAAATATTTTCTGTTTCTTTGACTTGCATTCTGATATTTATTTATTTCTTCCTTACTAAATTTGAATATAATAGCAATTATTTTTCTAGTTTCATCATATAACAGCTTAGATCATTAATTTTAAACCTGTCATTTAAAAAATATTTATCACTTAAAATGAGAAATAAGTCCCTGAGTTAGTTGATAGTGTTGATATTATTAAATTATTCTTTATCTTCAATCATTTTGTTGTCTGGTTCTGCCAGTTAAGGTGAGGGGGGTTAAAATCTCCCATTATTTTTGTGAAAGTGTTTAATTCTCCTTTTTGTTATGTCACTTTTTTTCTTCATGTATTTTGTAGTTCTTTCATTTCTTTCATAGTATTTAGGAGGGTTATGTATTCTTACTTGACCCTTTTATTGTTATTAAATGCCCTCTTTATCTCTATTATCCTTTGCTTTCAAGACTACTTTATTTTGTATTAATATGGCCATACTTACTTTCTAATGCACAGTGGTTGTAGTTTATTTTCCCTAACATTCACTTTTAACTTGTCTATTTCTTTATATTTCCCTTGGCTCTCTTAAAACAGTAGATTATCAGTTTATTTTCTTTGTTTTAAAGTAACTGTTTGAAAATTTTCTATCTTTTAATTATTGTGTTTATTCCATTTACATTTAATGTAATGCTTGATATGGTTGGATTTAGGGATACCATCCTGTGTTTTATTTTCTATTTGTCCCATCTGTTGTTTGTTTTTCCATTTTAGATTATTTTTGGGGGGAGGGGGAGTTATTATTATTTATTAATTATTATTTTTAATGCTTCTTTTTTTCTTTTGGCTGAAATACTTATGACATTTATTTTAGTGTGATTCTGCTGGCAGTGAATTCCCCTAGCTTTTGTTTCTGAATATGTCCTTATTTTGTCTTTAATTTTGAAGGGTATCTTTGCTTTATATAAAAATCCAGGTTGATGAATATTTTCCTCTTAATATTTTAAAAATGTTGTTCCATTGTTTTTCTGGCCTCTGTTTTTCATGATTTGTGTGCTGTAATTATTATCTTTCCATAGTCCCCTCAAAACACATAAATAATGTGTCTTTTTTGTTTGGATGTTTAAAAATTTTTTTTCCTTATTTTTTATATCAGCAGTTTCATTGTCCTACTGTGATATTGTTTGTGTTTATCTTGCTTGAGGTTTACTGAGCTATAAGATCTGTGGGTTATTTTCCATGCTGTTTGAAAAATTTTAGCCATCACTTATCCAAATAATATTTGTGTCCTATTCTGTCTTTTTCCCCCCATACTCTACATATATTTTACACTGCTTGATATTGTGCCATAGGACATCTTTTCAATCTTTTCCTGTTTTTACTTCAGTTTGTAATAATTTGCATTGATATGTTTTTAAATTGTCCTTTTTCTTTTAGTGTTTCATCTGTTAAACCTTTCCAATACATTTATTTCAGAGATTATATTGTTTATTTCTATGTTCCCATATCAAACTCTCTTTCTATTGCCTATATTTTCCCTTGATTATTGCTGTTTTCTGTTTCTTTGTATACCTAATAATTTTTAAGTGTGTATTGGACACGGCATTGATACATTGCAGAGATTTTGATTTCGTTATTTTCCTCTGAAAAGATCATTTTATTTTAACAGTTAAATTACTTGTGGATCACTTTGATCATGATTTCATAGTATTTTCTTAATTTATTTTCTACAGTTTTTGCTTAGTCCCAGGTCATAGCGCTTTATCCTGGGAATTGTTTATTACTCTTAAAGCATGGCCTTCTATGGCTTAAATGGAAAGCTTGAGGTGTTTACCATGCTTCTCTAACCTGACAGGACTTGAACTCCAAAATTTGTATTTTAGCTTTGGGGAGCTGGTGAAATTTCTGCCTACTTCTTTAACCTTCTAGTCATTGCTATACTAGATGGGTTCCTTGTAATCTCATCCTTTGCATGCACAATTTTGGGTTACAGAGAAGGATTTGAGGTAGATTTATATAGAGGTTTATGGCTCCATATGTTAAAGGATCTTCCCCTCAACTTCAAGCTGCTCTGGCGGCTCTGAACTGTGATCTTTAACTCTTTAGCACCATAAGGCTTTTCTGCTTGAACTGTTATTACTCATGAATTGTACAAACTGGGAAGTGCTCTCAGGGGAGTGAACAGTTAAATGAATATCTCACCTAATATACTCCCTTTTTTCAAGGGTTTGCCTTTTCCAGTTTCTGTCTACTTTTGGTTGTTTTTTAGTGCCTTGAAACAGATTATCTTCCTTCATTTTGAACAGTGCTGCTTGATTTATGATCTATTTTGCTAAATTATAATTGGTTGTGTATTTTTTTCTTACTATGCAAGTTTTTTGAGAGTCAAGCATATGTTTTATTGATCTTTACTAGCTAATTGTCTGGCTCAGATTGGTACCTTTTACTTATCAGCTACTTAGTAAATGTTGAATTCCGTTGTTATTTTTATGGAAGACCAACTGTGAGTCAAGATTTAAACTTTAAGTCTCCTATCCATAAGTTAGTTTATCTTTTTAGTACACTACTCTGAATATGAGTTTGAAGGGGATTTTTAGGGAGATATTTTGGGTCTTTTGAAGTATAGTATTTAAAAATTTTTTATTCTTTTTAAATATTTATTTTAATTTTTTAATTTTTATATTTTAATATTATTTTAACTTTAACTCATTTTAATGTTAACACATTCATTATATGATCTATAAAATTGCTGAACTTGCTAACTAAAACTATTGGATTTCCAATCAAGGCTGTTACAAAATATATTATTTTTTGTATTAATTTTTATACCTAAAGGAAAAACTAGTTCTCCATGCAAAATAGACTAGAGATGTTTCTTTTATTTAGAATAATGATAGTTTCCAAATTCTGTGTAGCATGTGGTTGAAAATAATATCTTTGAATAATTCTATGTTTAAAAAGGACTCTTCAATGTTATTTTAAATTAGTTTCTCAAGGTGAATCTAATAGACAAAGAATTTGTCCCATCATGTCAAAATTACAGTAATAGAATTTTGAAGGAGTGATCCAAATTTGCCTCTGTTATTAACTTTAGTAGTCTCAATTTGTGGAGAAGTGTCTATTTCCCTCATCTTACTAAATTACTGTTTTTAGGTGTAACTATTAAACTCATTAACTTTGATTATTAATCATACTTTGTTTTCATAGCTTAAAGTATAGTTGAATACAAAGAGGTATTATGAACTGGCTTCTTTTCAGTAGATTTTTTGTTTGTATGCAAATCTTGTACTTATTGCAAATCTTATTTGGTGAGCATGCTAAAATAAATCAGTCAATTTCAAGGATAGTTTCTATTGTTTATTTAACCATAACAAACCATAGTTGCATTTGTCTACCTATGAATTTGTCTTTATGTTTATTTGAAAGAAGCACATTGTTAAATGAAGTTAAGAAACTTCCTTTTTCTTCTTTCTTTAGAATCGAGTTTCTTACTGGGAAATGCTCAGATTGTGGATTGGCCTGTAGTTTATAGTAATGACGGTTTTTGCAAACTCTCTGGGTATCATCGAGCTGACGTCATGCAGAAAAGCAGCACTTGCAGGTTGGTAATAATTGAACAACTCAGTAATCTTTTCTGAAATTTAACTAAATGCTGAATATGGCTTAAAGGCTTAAATTTATAGTAGTCTTTCCTTAGCCACGGTTTCACTTTCTTGTGGTTTCCGTTACTCAGGGTCAACTGCAGTCTGGAAGCAGGTGATCGATCGATCCTCTTCGTGACATATATTCCAAAGGTCAATAGTAGCCTAATGCCACATCACAATGATTTTACCACGTTCACCTCACATCATCTCATCCCATAAGCACTTTATCATCACACATCATCACAGGAAGGGTGAATACAGTAAAATTACAGTACAGTACAGTAAAATATTTTGAAAGAGAGACCACATTTACTTAAATTTAATTACAGTATAATGTTATAATTGTTCTATTTTTGTTTTTAATTTCTTATTATCCCTAATTTGTGAATTAAACTTAATCATCAGTATGTATGTATAAGAAAAAATGTAGTATATGCTATCTGTGGTTTTCGGCATCTACTGGGAGTCTTGGAACATATTCCCATGGAAAATGGGGATTGCTATCTTAGATTCACTGTTGATACTGTAATATATTCTAAGAAATATATATTTGTTTCTTTTACCTGTTTCCTGGCAAAGAGCTCCTAAAACCCTTGGAATTTCTTATGGTAAGAGCAGGAAAGTTATCTTTTGTTATGTTTATGATCACTTTTGGAAAACCCTTAGATAACAAAGGGCAACCAACCACCTGTTCAGAGGGTTGAAACTCTGAGGATCCCACCCCCAACCTCCAGGGAGGGAAACCAGCCGAAAGTTGAGTCAGTCGCCAAGGGCCAATGATTTAATTAATCACAACGATGTAAAGAAGCCTCTATAAATACCCCCAAAAGGTAGGGTTCAGAGAGCTTCTGGGTTAGTGAACTTGCAGAGATGCTGGGAGAGATGTGCCTGGAGAGGGCATGGAAGCCCTGTACCCTTTCTCCATTAATACCTTGTTCCATGAATCTCTTTCATATGGCTCTTCCTTTTATAATAAGCTCGTGGTCTAGTAAGTGAAATGTTCTTTGAGCTCTGTGAGCTTTTCAGCAAATTAATCAAACCCAAGGAGGAGGTCATGGGAACTTCCAGTCTGCAGCCAGTGGGTCAGAATCTGTATAGGTAACAACCTGGGCTGGTCACTGTTGCCTGAAGTGCACTGTGGAGGGAGGGGAGGTGTGGGCAGTCTTTAAGATGCTGTCTTTGGGCAAATAGTGTTTGGACTGAGTCGAATTGTAGAACATCCAGTTGGTGTTCTAAGAATTGCTTGTTTTTGGTATGGGGACCTTCTCCCACACAGGAATTGGTATCAGAACCTACTTATTCACATATAAAAATTATTGGTTAAAAATTAGAGTATGAAGGAGACTAAATTGTTAATGCAAATATATATAGTTAAGAGTCATTGGTGAGAATTTTTGCAAAAAGATTTTTGCCTATCTGTGAATTTATTAATTCATTCAATAACTGTTTTTTGATCAACTACTAGGAACCACAATCTATTCTAGATGCCAAGTGATTAAAGCGTCAGTACTAATTGAGCTGCTAAAACTGTCTTGAACAAAGTAAACAATCCCCAACCAAGTAGGACATAGTTTGGGAACATTTAAAGAACATCAAAATAAAGTTCTTAACATCCTGTGTAAATCACGTGTATTTTGTATTGTTGGTACATTCTTCCATTGCTATTTTGTTTGGCTTATGTAAAACAGAATCTGGCATTTATATTATTTATAACCATACTTTTTAAAATGTGCCATATCTGTGAATTTAAAGAGAGTATTTTGAAAAAGATCATAAAAAAGAAAAGGAAATTCTATATAAGGAACCAATTTGGAGTCAAAAACTTTTTACAATATTTCAGTAAGGCCAGATGGGATGTTTCTTCCTTGAGTTACTTTCTCTTTAAAAGTCTCACTTAACTAGGCACTGAAATTATGTTATTTTAAAATTACAGGAGATCTGAATTATTTTCCACTCTAAGTCCTTTGTTTTTCAAGGGAGAAAAACTAAGGTAGAGTTATGTAAAGAACTTGCCTAGGGAAACACAGTGATTTATTTATTTGTTTTCTACCCATTTATGCTGAGAAACATTATGTGTATATACAAATATATGTATTCTGCATCTTCATGGAGGCCAGGGAATTCATATTATACCAGTGCATCTAAACCTGACTACTTACAGGAATCCCTTAGAGAGGTTTTGCAAAACACAGATTCCTAGGTCTCCCCTCAAATATGTTGAATCACAATCACCTTAGGTGGGTAGGTGGGGGTGGGAATCAGGTATTTTTAACCAACAGCTCAGATGATTCTGATGCTTAGCTAGGTTTGAGAAATTATCTGTTCAGACCTCTTCTTCCTTCACTTAACCCTCCCCCAGGGTTCTTGTTTTTTTCTCTACTAAAGTCATTCTCACATTCAGTTTTCACTCTCAGGTCAGAAATTGGTAAATGAGAGTGATGAAAAATGGTGGCCCCTTACTGAGAAACTCCTTTTGGTAACACTGATGCCTTTGTGCCTTTTAGTCCTTTGGGGGTATATTGGCTCTTGGGCTAGCACTGTCACTAAGCCACGTGTCTAAGTTCTGGGAGGTTAAGATCTGTACTGAACAGCTCTGCTCCTTTATGTCTCAGCAGGGTGTAGGTGAGGAATAGATAAGGTTTATGGTTGGCCTTACCTGGGGACCCAAGGTGTGTAGAGAGTTGCAGGGAATGTAGACACTCCCTTAGCTATTTCCTCTTTTTGGACTTCGGGCATCCTATCATCATGCCATGTCTGTTTCAGATGCCGTTTTCCACCTGATGGTATTTATGATTCCCTTCACCAGACGTGCTTTTCTTCCTCTGACTTCCTGTGGGTCATCATTTGGCCTCAGTATCTGGTCTTAAACTAGCTTCCCTTTACCCTTGGGTTTTCTTTGCTATTGCTTTTGTTGTCATTTTTGAGAAGTAATGCTTTTCATGCCTGGATATATTATAAAGTCCTGCTCCCATCTCTTCTTGCTTCCAGCTATCTGTCTCCATTTATAGCCCATTTTCTTTGATGTGTGCAGTTTGTCCTACAAAAGGGTTCATTAAAAAACAATGGCATGTTATATATTAGCATATTTTCTGCCCTAAACTTGCTCTCTCCCCTCCTGCCACCTGTGCTAGGTTATAAATGCCTTGAATGTAGGGATCCCATCTTTTCCCTTTTTGTGTGTACTTCAGGACACAGCTCAGTGTTTTGTGTCAGTATTTGTTGAATTAGATAGTCCTGCTTTGTCATAAACCCTAACCTAGGTTCCACATGCTTCTGTAGAACATGTCTTTATTTATTGTATTTCATCCCAAGTGTTACAGATTTGAGGTGGGTGAGAGCAGAAAGCTTTGGATTATGTTACACTTTTTCACTGTGGGAAAAAGTCTCCCCCTTGAACTGTTTTTCACTGTTATTAGAGACAGTATTTTCAAAATGATAATATTCTTAATATAAACAAATTGTACAAAACACCCAGTGTG